TGTTTTATACAGAAAGCCTAGTATACTGTTTTGTAAGAAAATCAGAACAAAAGACAAGTGGAATTACAGCAGTGCTTAGCAAACTAAATGACACTGGAAACGTAAAGAAAAATAACACTCTAAATGATGTGGAAGACTATATTCTGGTTTTATTTTCGTGTGTGTGCTACTTATGATTTCCTGAGTAACCCAAAGCATTAGATGGTCTTACCTACTAACTATAGAATATAGTTAAAGCAGATACATGCTGATATAGTTGTTCTGCACTAAACACTTTTACATGAGAAATGAGACCCAGAGGAATCTACATAAAAAGTTGCACACTTTACCATTCAAACACCCCAAAAGTAATATGATGGATGTATCCTCTTAGAGAGACAGAGGACTTGGGGACAGAGTTGACAAGGGAAACCATAGAGCTTGGATAATTTCATTGAGTTGAACAGATGTATAATAAAAAAAAAGAAAAGAAAAGAAAAGAAAAGAAAAGAAAAGAAAAGAAAAGAAAAGAAAAGAAAAGAAAAGAAAAGAAAAGAAAAATCACCAGCAAATAAAAGCAGAATACATTTTATTTTTCTTGTCTACATGTGATGTGCTATCCTGTGTATTGTCTATGTACATACAGCATGATTGGATTTTGGGTGGTTTAAAAATAAACAAAATCAGTTGTGCTGAACCATGAAATGTTCATGATTCGTGATGTTTAATTTGCCTTGTATGCAACACAAGTTCTTCTTCTACACCATTTTTCTGGTGCCAGCCTGTGAGGCTGAGACAATTTCTGCTCTTCCACTCTTGACAGCACCTTTGATGTGATGCTGGCCTCTGAGAAAAGGGATCTTCTGTCTTGTGTGGCAGGCAAAGCCCTTCCCTCACATAGAAGTAAGCTCCATCCAAATTATACTTAGAAACAAATCAGGATACCACGACGTTGTGCCCAGTCTCCACTTAATTTTTTCAACTTAATTTTCTGGTATCCTAGTACACCCACTGGCCCATAACAAATCCTTTTGTTGCCTTGCAGAATCTGTGAGCCAGAATGTTTGCTGAGGTTGCCCACAGTAAGTTGTTTTGACAAGCTTGAGGTAACTTGACAGATACAGTGATGGAGAAAATGTGAGATTCACAATTTGTTCCTTAAGCCCACAACCTGCAACAAGCAATGTCTTGGCTTATTTTCTATGGTTCAAAGTCCAAAACTTTGAAGACAAGCAATATTGCCTTTTCATTTGGTATATAATAGGATTACATCATGTTAGCTGCTCTAGCTGATGCTTATGATCACAATAACAAAGTAGATGAAAGATGTACAATAACTGTTTTATTAGTGAAGAAACAAAAAGCAGGTCAGAGTATATGAAGTATGATCTTCACAGTGATAACCTTTAAACAATTTACAGTAAAGCTCTTGGAAATAAGTGAGAACATATTTTAAAAGAATTCCAGACTTAAATTCCTTTCTAAAGAAAGAAAAGCTTAAGAGTACCTTTAAAGTGCTCCTGTAGTATCTTAACCCTGAAAAAAGAGCAGGAGTTTCTAAACAATGCCAGGCCATAGGTCCTAAGGGTCTCCCCACTCCTAGCACAAATGGTTTTGCTTTGTGCTAGACAAGCACACTTAAAAGTTATAATCTCATTAAAATATTTGGAAGGTACCCAGCAAAGGTATTAAAAGCATGAAGCAGCAAGTATCGAAACCCACTAACAAATGTCAAGTGGGCCAACGTAGTCACATGTGATCACCCAGAAACTCAGCAAAATCTCCCTGATATCAAGAGGAAGCCTGGAAATACAGTTGTTTGAACCAGCTCCCAGGATGTGTGCCCTAAAAGTTCCACCATCCACAGGGACAGGCAGCACCAGCAGTGCAGGTGTACTTGCTTTGGGATGTTGACCAGAACAAGGCAACTTAGAAGAAGCCTGAGCAAGGTGCTTTGAATTCATCTCTGGAGGAACCCCTGATGCTAATCCCTGATGCTGATCCATTGATTCTATAGACAATCTAAGGAGAAATGTGTCCTACCTTCAGTCATCTATCTTTAGAAATAAATACATTCTCTGCCTCTCCATTGTAGCTGTGGCAATTTAATTTTAGATTTCATGTTGCTCAACTCTGCATAGACTTTTAACACGTGCAAGGAAAGAAAGGAGATTGAGAGGTAACAGAATGACAGCCAAGAAGCCAGGAAGCTTCCATTGTCTTCCCATATCCACCAGCTGCACCAGTCACAATTCAGGGCTTCATGTTTTTAAAAATTAAAATAACACAATAATACTAATAAAGAGTTTCTCAGAGGTTTTCTATGTTTACTCTCCTTTTACCCAGCTGAAGTTTGGACGTGCCAAGAGTCACACAATAAAATTGTATTAAGAATATGGCTGTTATGATTCAATTGAAGCCTGGGCTCTAGTAAACATCTGTGTCAAGAATGGTTCTGGGTTTCATTTTGCTCCTGTCCTTGAAATGATCATATTTTTATACATAAGTTTTTTCATATTACAGAAATTACTTACTCCAGGATTCCTTCTGGGGACAAATGCATCATGTTATAGACGTCTGAAAGCTGAAATTAAACCTCTGTTTAAATAGGTTTGTTGATAATTAGCCATTAGCCATCTATAAGATCACAATGCTTTAGTTCTTGAAATCATATTCCACGTAGGGCTGTGAATGATGTTCCCTCAAAGGCACAATTCCCCTTGACTTCAAGATTCCCTTGTGGTGTTGGACAAATAGAATGTGTTCAGATGTGCAAAGGGAGTTAACACACTAAATTCTGACTTGACAGCAGTGGGACTTCACTTAACCCTTCTCAGTGAACTCCTGTTCTCACTGAAGCCACAGTTCCTGCCCTTTATTAATTTTGTGAAACTAAAATTTGAACCCAAATATTTATGACCAGATAAAAACCCAACTTGTTACCAAATCAATTATTTGTTGCTGTGTGTCTTTGCTTCTGAGTAAAACTTTCTAGGGATCTGTGCTCCTGACCGTTCCCATGTAGCCATGAACATCTGCCCATGGCCATCCCTGTTCTTCTACACCCTGTATTGGGTAAAGAAACTGAGCACAAAATAAACATAGGAATGAAGAATGGATGGAGGGAAGTGACACACGGCATAAAGGCAACAGCTTTGTGGATCTTACTGACGTTCAAAAGGATTTATTCTCCTTTCACCTTGGTTAAACTCACTGCCCTTGAGCCATGCCTGTCTGAACAAAAGGTTGTAAATTTTTTCAATCATTGTTTTATGAGATTTTGCTAAAAGAGAACCCTAGAAACTCAATACACTCCCTTTTTCATGATCTCCTGAACTTCCCAATCTGTCACGATCTAAATTTTGCCATGAATTGCCCTCATTGTGCCATTTCCTCTGTTTTGTTTCTATTCTTGCCTTGGAGCAGGAATTAAGAAGCTTGTGGAAAGCGATCGATGCAGTGATACTTTTTGGCCATTTTTGTAGCATTTCTAGAAATTTATTTCCTCATTCTCTTCTTTTCCTTTGCTCTTCATTTTCAGGGTCCTGAGAAGGATTACTAATAATTAAAAGATTCCTCCATTTAACCTCCTCTCTTAACTTGTGATCCATCCCCTTTTCTAAAGGGTGTGTTATTACTCCTAGACAAAAAACAGGAGGGACTTTCTATTAATTAATTTTTTCTTTTCTTTCAATTAAAAACAAACAAAACAATGTTCTCTGGAAGCATGGGAGCTGAACAGCAGCTCTTGGCAAAAAGTGGGTGTTTAATGCAATTGCTGGAAACAGCCATAATCTTTTCTATTTCTTTTTTTTTCTTTTTTTTTTTTTTTCCTGAAAAGTAAATGGAGCATTTGTAGGGAGCAATCTACCCAAAGGACGGATGTGACTACAAAAACAACAAGCTGCAGCACACACTTGGTTTCCTTTGGAGACCTCCAACTTTTTCCTCTTTCACCATTTCATATTATTACTTACTCAAGAAGAACATGGCATGAATTAAAGAGGGGAGTGGGAAACGGTGGGGCTGCCTGTTTTATATCAGTGATGAGTGGGAAGAGAGGTCACTTGCTGTATTTTCT